CACATGATGAATTTGAAAATAATAGACAACGTTGTGCTAGGAAAGAAAGTTTCTAACTTCAAGCCTTCTAAGAAGTAAAGGAATACTTCTTATTTTTTCTGAAAGCGTCATGAATTCATACATTTTTTCTCCTTGGACAAAATAGCAACTAGTCTAAAGATATGAAGGGGTTAAATCATTTTCAGTGTGCTTTATATCTTTCCCGGAAGCAAGAAAGTTATCTTTTATTAGGTAGAATTTGACTTAATGCACTTCAGTGTTGAATCTATAGTGCTATATCCTCAAAGGTCTTATAAATATTATGACTTGAAAAGGTGAAAGAACTGAGAATATTTAGTTTGGAAAAGAGAAGCTTCTCTTTCTGTCTCTCTCTATTTCTCCTTCCCTCCCTCACCCCACCCATCTCCATCCCTCTGTCTTCTGAGTTGTAGAATAAAGGCTGTTGTGGGAACCTGGGTGGCTCAGTGGTTGAGCGTCTGCCTTCGGCCCAGGGCGTGATCCCAGGGTCCTGGGATTGGGTCCCACATCAGGCTCACTGTGGGGAGTCTGCTTCTCCCTCTGCCTGTGTCTCTGCTTCTCTGTGTCTCTCATGAATAAATAAAATCATTTTTTTAAAGGCTGTTGTGATATAGAGGAAGAGGCATTAGACTTAGTCTGTGTGATCCACAAAGCACAATTTGAAGCCACGGATATAGACTGTTTCTCCTCAAACAACAACAGATCTCTCCAGAAATGGAATGAGCAGTGAGTGAGTTCCACATCCCTGGAGGTGTTCAAGAAGACAGATACTTATTAACCATTACAGAAGACATTCATGGACCAGGTTGAACTTGAGGACTTCTCCTCGAATTCCTCTTGGATCCTTGGTGTTTTGGTCACATCAACAAGTTTGTACCAAGCAACCAGAGTGGAAAGACTGGATGTGTGGGTCTCTGAAGCTCAGGGTCACCATGCTGCCTGCCTGTTGCCATGTTGCACTTTTATTAGAACAGCTAGGTAGGTGTCATTGAGAGACAGTGTAACTTCTGAAAATGAGATTTTAAGAAACTGTTGCAAAGCTGTGCTCTCCAAAGATGGCTTTGGTTTTTGGAAATAGCTAAAAGTCTGGTCAACATGGGGTCATTGTACTGCATGATACTGTTTGAGGATTAAAAATATATATATATATCCAACAGCAGAAGCAAGCTTATGGAGGGATGAGGGGGGACTTTCTTGGCATGCTCAGAAGCTCAATATAAGATATGGGAGGTTTTCGCAGAGTGGCACTTTGAAAACGTGTGCAGCCATAAAAGCATTAGGGGAAACTGTGGTCATTTGAGTGTTTACATTCTGATGTGATTTTTAAAAGATCAGTCTCATGCATTACAGCTATGGTGCTATGTCGAGGCAAGGGATGAACGTGTTTATGTTATTTCTGATGATTGGGACTCTAAAGACTGAGTGCTCAAGCGTCTGAGAAGCTCTGATCCATGATTCTTTCCCTGGAGAACACATTACATTCCATATGGGAGTCTTATGAAGACCCAGCAAGAGTTGCCAAGCTGGACCTGGGGGCTTCGGCTGGATTGCTTTATCTAACTTGCTTTCATTTCTTCGCTCCCTTGTCAATTCATTTATCTGCTGGGATGCATGCATGGCACTTCTGGAGAGCTCTATTATTTGGCACACATCCACAGCTGCACAGCTGCTGGAGCCCACCATCTCCAAACCCATGGAACTGGCTGCCTGCACTGTGGGATTTGAGATACCAAGAATGTCATCTTCAATCCCCTTTCAATGGGGAGAGAATCTGTCTGCCTTTCAAGGGTGACCTCCCTCATATTATAAAACCAGAGCCCACAAAATATCCTGATCCAGGCTTATATAATGAATAAGGCTAGAGCTTCCCCTCGAAGGCAGCTCTGGTAAATGAAAAAGGAGATCATTAGGGCAGCCGCCAGAGTTGCCGACAGGACTAAAGAGGAGAGGAAGACACTGGGCAGCAGAGGACAAGCCTCGGGTGACATCACGGCTTTGTGTGAAGGCAGTGCTGCAAATCTGTACTGACAAAGGCAGAAGTGATGTTATCTCACCATGGAGCTCCCAGGATAACTCACTCACCGCTGAAAGATCTTGGGCTTAGCCAGGAGCTCATGGGGGCATGTGAGCTGTCTTCACCGCCTGGGTGTGGCACGGACGAGGGTGTGCTGGCCCTCGTTCGTTTGCTCCACATCAAACAACTTTCCTACTCCAAAGTGTCAGTCCCTGTTGTGGGTCCACCTTGTCTCCATTCTCAGCTTAGGGGTTTAGGATGGAGGTTCCACTCCCAGCTTAGGGATCAAGTCTGTGACCCAGCTTGAGATAATCGATCCATCACGAGTCCCTCGGCCACAGTGATTGGTTCATGTAGGGCAGTGATAATGGCCCTCAATGACACTTTTGCTGAGATGGCTGGGATCGAGGTCAAAGTCGTTCCCACCAGGTTGGACCCTGAGAGCATGCAAAGCTGGGATTCTTGCAGCCAACTTCCAACTACCAGAAACCCGAGACTGGAGCCAATACAGTGTAGATGGAGCAGAGAGGTGGGAAGAACCAATGGAAAAGATTCAGGCATCAGATGGGAGGTTGAACTGGGCAGCTCTTTAGATGTATGTGTTTCAAAAGCACTTTTTAATGACTACAGCAATGAGATCGCCTGCTCTTTCAAACTCCCTCTTTAGGTGTCTCTAATACAAGCAAACATGACAAAATTAGTGTGGTACAAAGATTCTAATTCTCTGGTCTTGGTGACAGACTCTGGTGGGGAGGGATACTACAACTAGGTCTGCACCATGAGCCTACCTTTGGTTGCCCCTCTCCTCTGCCAGGGAGGGGGACTGACTATGCCCTTCAAACACCTTCCAACTTCTGTGCCTGCACTCTTGCCCTTACCCGGATCTCCTCCCTTTGTGTTTTCCTACTCTGCCCTATAAGGATCAACTGTCCTCTACAAGGCTAGGTCCCTGGCCATCTCAGACCAAAGGAATGACTCTTAACTTTTGACCTCTGGGTGATCCTTTGCATTTATTAATACTGATTTGCATAGTCCCTTGGCATTTCTTCGTGGCGCTCTTGCTCCCCATCTTCTTGAGGGAAGATAAGGATTATGAATTGTAGCACCTAGTACACAGTGCTAGGATGGTACCTAGTGCACAGTGTTGCATGGATGGGCTCTACTAGGTTGATGCTTATAGGAAAGTGATATTTTGATAACGTGGGCTCTTGTTAGTATCCCCTCCTGGAATACAGCCACCTGACGGTCTCAGATCTGGGTCTCAGATCAGAGGTTACTGGGTTGACTATGGGATCTCCTTCACCACTTTGCCAGCCTATCAGAATTCGGTTGTGTCCAGGATGTTGCAGGGCCCAAGACACAGAGGAGACAGAACCATACCTCCTCCGTCCAGGTTCTTCCCATTCCACCCACACCTGACACCCCACATGCCAGATGGGGCATATGGTCCACTTATTCACCAAAGACTCACTAAGCACGTTGTGCCAGGCATTGGATGTGCAGCAATGGGCAAATCAGATGCAGTTCCTGCCTGTGGTCTTGATAGGAAGTCCCTTCCACTAGGATGGTTCTTCCTCTCCCTCTCTGTCCCTAGAGCCTGAGCTGTCTGGGCTTAGGTATCTTGGGTGTGCCATGTGTCCCCTTGGAAGTAGGGTCTGTGTACTTTGCTGACGCCAAAGCCCACTTCCAACGGTCTTCTTCCTACCTACTCCCCCTTTTGTCCAAGCCTGAGATATGGCTCCTCATTCCCAGGGACAACCATCTAATCCATTTCTCCTGCTCACAAAGTCCTGGCTGGATCTCCCCTAAAACCAAGAGGTCTGGTCTCCCCAAGCACAAAGTAATGATTAGTGTGAACTTTGCATCTTGAACGTCCATTTGGTTTAAATCAGTAAAGCTAAAGGAAGTACACGTAATCGTGACAGATGATGGGAAAACAAAGCTAAATTTCCTCTGGACTCTGAGCTTGAGGTCGTGACCCCCAGGCCACCCGCCAGGGGGTGATGGTCTGGCCTTTGACAATGACCCCTAAGGAGGAGGCTCTTGGTCTAACCTGCAGCCCCAGCTGCCCCAGGTGCTCCGGACTGAATGCTGTGTCAGCGCTGAGCGGCCAGGATGGCCTGTCGTGGGCAGGGATTGTTCCAGTCTCTTGTTTCTCGTTTCACAGCGCAGCTGCCCAAAGATGCTGAGGGTGGGGGTCGCAGGCACCCCACCCCAGGGGCTGCGTGGTCTTGGCCAAGAGCCAGGCTCACCTTCGCCCTCAGTCTGTGTGCCAAGGCGCCCGAGCCTGGCTGGCCAGTTCCTGAGGCCAAAACGAAGCCTGGGAGAGTGTTCTCAGGGGAACTTCCTAGAAAATTTTTTAAAAAAAAAGGGGGGGGGAGAATTTCAGGTCGGAAAGGGGTGGGGAGAGCCCAAAGCGGGAGGGAGCAAGCTCTTTCCAGCAGGAGCAGAGGGTGCCCGGGCGGCCTGGGCTGGAGAGCCCCCCGCGCGCCTCTGCCACCTGCCCACGTGCGCGCGTGAGCCGCGAGCGGAGCCCGAGGCCGGAGCCGCAGAGCAGCCGCAGGCGGGGCCCCAGGGCGCAGGGGCCGGGCGCAGGGGCCGCCCACCCGCGGGGAGCCGGGGAGCCGGGGAGCCGGGGAGCGCGCCCGGGAGGAGGCGGCGGCGGCGGCGGCGGCGGCGGCGGCGGGGCTTCCCCGGGCTTCCCTTCCCTTCCCTTCCCCTCCCCTCCCCTCCCCTCCCCTCCCCTCCCGGGGCCGCGGGCGCACGGCGCGGACCGGGGGCGGAGGCGGCGCTCGGCGCCAGGGCGCGGGGACTCCCCCGGGCGCCCCCAGCTCGGCGTCTGCGAGCCCCGGCGCGCCCCCCCCGCCGCCCGCCCGCTCCCGCCCGCCTCCCGCCCCCGCCCGCGGCCTGGAGCGCGCCTCCCTCGCCGCCCCGGGTCTGGCGAGCCGGCGCCGGTCGAGCCGCGAGAGCCGCCGCGAGCCCCCGCCGCCGCCCGGGAGCTGCTCCGGCCGCGCCATGCGGGAGCTGGCCATCGAGATCGGGGTCCGCGCCCTGCTCTTCGGGGTCTTCGTGTGAGTAGCGCTGCGCCGGGCCGGGGGCGCGGCCGCGGGGACCCACGCACCGGGCGTCTCCGCGCCCCAACTTTGTTTGCGCCGCCGCGTCCCTTCCGGGCCCGGATTCGAGGTCTCCCTCCCGCCCGGTGCCCGGGACGTGTCCTCCGGGACCCTCCTGGTTCCCTCCCCGGGCCCCCGGGCGCCGAGGGACCGCGGAAGCCGGCCTGACCCTCGCGCCCCACCCCTCCCCCCCGCGCGGGGAGCGGGACCGCTCGGGGCCCCTCGCCTGCGCCTGTCGCCGGCTGCGCACAGCGGCCCGGGGAGTCGCGGCTGCTCCGGGGAGGCGGGAAGTTTCGCCTCGGGCGCGATCTGCCGAGCCCGCCGTCGGCAGCCCTGCGTCCTCCCGGCCCTGCTCGCGGGGGCCCGGCTCCGTCTCCATCCGTGTCCCTGGCTTGGGCGCCCGCGGTTCGGATGAGCCTTTTTCCCCAGGAGACGTTTGCGGTACGTCTCCGGCTGGAAAACTGTTGCGGGGGGCGGCTCGGGAAGTCCGGGGGCCTCGGCCCGAGGTGCGGGCTCCGTACGCCGCGAGCTGGGTGCGGAGCCCGTGGCCGCCGGCGGTGCGCGCGGGGCCCCCCGGGGACAGCAGCGAAATGCCCCTGGTGCCTCCGAGCGCCTGCACCTGGAAGCAGCGATCTTGGGAAGAGGAGGGGTCTCCTGCACAGGCTCTTTCCGAGATGTCTGAACCCCAGGGCGCCCCGGAACCCGCTGCCCAGGGGAGCTGTCGCGTCTCCGCCTTCCGGATGCAAGCCCCGAACGCACCACCCGCTCAGACCCACGCCACAGCCCCTGGAGTCTCTTGTCCCCACGCACCCGCACCTGCACTTGACCCTACGCTAGCTGGGCAGTTTCCCTTTTGCTCCTCGGCCCATGGCTGTTTTCTGACCCGTTTTAAATATTAAAGTTGCATGAACTTTCTGGACTTGCCGGGTTCTTTTAAAAAGCCCATGCAGCCCTTCCAAACAGGAGGCCGGAGTCATTGATGGCAGGTGGGAGGCGGTGAGTTGACTTCTGTTCCTGCAGCCCAGGGTATACACATGGAAAGAAAGACCCTTTCTTGCATGTTTTTCTTCACTAGGGATTAAATTCATCCAGAGTGTTTATTCCCATCATCATAAAGGGCGGTGAGTTCCCCCAGATGCAGGCAAGCCCCCTCTCCCAGCTTCTGACTAAACACTGCTGTTATTCAGTTCGGAAAAAGGAATGAGAACTTCAGTTGGGTTTTGATGCATTTGGGAAAACAAACACCACTTTTCCCTCCTCTTTCTCAGTGTTTCTACCTTTGGACTATACATTAAAACTAGTGGTTGCCGTGTGATCAGATGGGGACAGTTTCCAATTGGCAGATAGGCCAAATCCCATTAAATTATTACGTGATGGAAATGATAAAATAGTGTTCAGTGCACAGTAGGATTTAACATTTGTTTGGTGAATGTGTGTGTGAGTGATGCTGAAGTAAAGTGAGGCAGGCTCGCAGGCTGCTTGGTTTGATTGCTGCTGGGAATTGTCGGATGAAAAAAGGGTCCGACGGTGTGCAAGTATTTATATTGTTTGCAGATTTCCCTTCACATATCTCGCAAAACATTCTTGAGATGTTTACAAATATGTGATGGTCTGTGCAGTGGATTTGAAAATGTGATAATTATTGTTTTACGTGCTTTTTGCTTCCTCAAAGAATGTTATGTAAAAATCAGACAGGCAGTTTGTATTCTTTGCTCTCAGCTTCCCCTTTGTATTAAGTAATGGGGGGAATCGGCCCTCACCCAAAGGGAAACATTTGGGCGTTGATGGTGTTTCTGGATGGTTCCCTGATTTCATATCAATCGGAAATATTAACAGTGTGTCCAATGTGTGGCTCTTTTACCAGCAAAGACCAGCTTTGGTATCACTGGGAGACTCCCGGGGTGGGAATCTTGGATGTTCAGGTGCTGTTATCATTGGCAGATAACGACTTCCGGAAGGACAGGCTGGGCGCACACACATACAGATGACCCTTTGTTTTTCTAGATAAGCTTCTGGTGAGATGACTTGTGTGAGTTTTATTTTTCCTTTTGCCAGCGCTTGTCTGATGGCAAGATTCAGTGGTTTGTACTCACCTGCTCATAAAGATGGTGGTCTCGGTAGCGGGGCCTCACCTGAGTAGGTTGAGAAAGTCCCTCCGGGCCAACTGAATCCACTTTTGCCGCTGCTGTAAAATTCATCATCTGCTTCTGTCTGGTGTATGTACCCTATTTCTCAGGATAAGAGAATAATTTTTTTCTGGGGGAAGATACCTTGCTTCTTTGCAAGCTTGTGCCTCTCGGGGAGTATCACCTGTACGCAGGCTAATTCCCGGATCGTATTTGCTCAGTGTGACAGCAGGATCCCACCACCTGATGCCCACATGCCCCTGTGGATTTGAAGGTAGCACTAATGAAATGCAGTTTGGGACCTTTAGGCTGTAGGGTTATATGCATTTCCTTTCTCTTAGGGAACCAGTTCTCTGTCTCTAGGCCAGGTTTAGTGGTAAGGTTTGGTGATTCAGGATCCCAAGAGAATGCTCTCCAGGAAATCCCCTGTAGGTCATCCAAGAAGTGAGCAGCGCCTTTTGGGCAGCCCTGCCTAAGAAGTTCAAACCAGTGGGAAGAAAATTAGTAACAGGTAATGCCAAGTCAGGGCTGGCACATAAAGCTGAATCTAAAAGGAAAAAAAAATTGGTTAGAGGACCCCAGTGTTTAGGAAAAATCAAAGTATTATGTGGAGCTTTGAGGCTGCATTTAGTGCTTGGAAGCTGCCTTGGAGGACTCTTTGCTCTTACTTGAGGACTGTGGGCAGAGCAGAGAGAAGGAGCTCAGGTGGGCCTCCTCCATCCTGTTGCCACCTAAGACTCCAGCAGACAACGTGTGAGCTTCTACGTACATGTGAAGCCAGCCCCAGACCTCAGCGAGCAAGCAAAGTGTGGATACAAGGTGGTCAGTCAGCAGCCCCGCAGGCAGCGCTGTAAGACCGGTAGTATATTAGCTCCTGTTTTACTACGATCGCCAGTACGGTGAGTGCCATTTATTGAAGGTTTATTATGTTCCAGGCAGTAACGAAGACAGTCACACGGACCACTTACGCCTCATACACACCTGATGGAGGGGGTATATTGGGTGTTGTGCTCATGCATGAAGAGACTGACACACAGACAGATTAAGAAGCCGCCCAAATCACAGAGTTAAGAAGGGCAGCTCCGAATCTAAATCTAGATGCTCCTTCTGCGTCATCTGGACTCTCAATAACCTTGCTGTACTTCTTCAGAAGAAGTAACAGCTGGTGTGGGGCTCTCAGGGGTGTACTGTGCAAAAGGCATTCTGTGGGATTGCTCTTGTCTCACTTGAGGTGGACACTTCACTCTCCCCACTTTACAAATAAAGAAACCAAGAAAGGATAAATGGCTTGTCTGAAGACACTCAGGTAGCAGGAGGTATAGTCTGGATCTGAACAGGCAGTTGACTCCATGTCCCGAGGCTCCCAGCTTCTGAGATAGAATGTGTCCAGCGCCAGGCCTCTGGAACTAGAGCGAAAGTGACCGCATCCTAGAAGCCATCCCCTTATGTGACCTGTTGTCTCTGGAGGAGCAAATGGAACGATGTGTGGAAAGAGCTGTCACTGGTTCTCACATCGGGCTCTTTGGGTGGTGATTGTGGTTCCCATTCCCTTCGAGATGGAATTAGGACATGTTATAGATTTTGAAGGGTCTTCTTTAGGTCTCTGGAACCCAGAGGGTGAGATGTGGAAAGTTCCAGGTCAGAACCTAAGTGGTAGTATAAAAGAACTGTTGGCCTATACACTTTTGCCCCTATTGGCCCTTGCCTTAGGACATCAGTTTGTCCAGAAAACCCTTTATTTTTAGCACTGCAGATAGGGCCCTGGAAATATGATGACAGTCAGAAATGCTGATGGAGGGGGAAGGTGATCAGCCTATTTCACCTGTGAACGTGGGTTTCCTGGGGTCCTCAGGCCCTCCCTCCTCCTCTCTCTCCCCTCTGTGACTCCAGGTGGCCCCCTGTCTGGGATGTCTCCCTAGGAGCTGTGGTTCTGCTTGGGAGACCAGGTTGCTCAGGTAATGAATGGTGTTTCCCTCAACTCAGATCAATCCTGCATCCTTCTTGGAGCACTTCCTATGTAGGGGGCCTGTGTCGGGTGCTGGGGATGTTTGAAAAAGGAAGGTGAGGGGGCCTCCCAGGAGCTCACAGATTGGCCAAGTGAGCACACAGTGGACCACTATTTGTTATCTTCCCCAGTGTAATCACAGGCTTTGAAAGTTTTGCCTTCAAACATTTGTATCTTTCATCCCATTGACAGATAGATGCTTCTTTGGCATCTTCTAGGTGCAAGCACTTGTCCTATTTACTTTCCTTCCCCTTCATTGCTACACTGTGGTTGGAATAATTCCAAACAGACACAGGGGAACTTGGCACATTAGCTGGTCCAGGTGATTTGCTTGAGGGCACTGGCTGTCAGGTAGGTTTTTGGAATATTGACAGAAACTACCAGATCTTTCATTATTACCCCTAAGAGTCCTGTCTAGGGCTGTAGGCCAGAGACAGTTGTGGTAGTTGGAGCAAAGTGCTCAGTTTATTGGGAAGGAGGGATTAATTAGCCTGGGAGGGATGAGGAGGAGGAGACAGGTGCCAGGGAAGGCTGCCCAGAGCTGGCATCTCACCTGAGTCTTGAGCATCGAATGGCAGGTATGAAGGGCCCGGCCCAAGGACGTTCCTATGGACAAGTGTCTGGAGCAAAGGCTGGGAGGTTTAGAGGCAGATTTTGGGTGGGGATCAAGTCACCAGGTATGGATTTGGAGGCTGCAGGAGATGGGTCTGGGACAAAAATGTGGATCTCCATGCCCTACAAGGAAGCACAGACATTCCCTTCAAAGCAGTAACTGGGGGGCCTGGGGAGGTTTGCAACAGAAAAACATCATATCTAGACACTTGCCC